CCACAACGTGATGCTGTATCATGATAAATAACAGTACTGTATTTACCCCTTACCACGGCTATTGGCTGTTGATCATGCTGTGTAACACATACTTTGTGAATATTAGTTACGTCATAAATGAATAAAACAATATTGCGACTCTTCTTCACGCTAGGGGCCTTTATATAAAAGTGCCTTTTGTGTATGTCATGTAAGAAAATTTGGTGACATTTATGCGTAGAATAAACAATACATAATATAATACAGAATAATATCTGTATGGCCATTTGGGGTTATGTTAACATTTCCCTGTGTGTTCATCGCCTGGACCATCAAGAGTAATTTATCTGAGGGCAACGTCGGGCACTCAACCGTGCTGCATCTCCCATGTTGGAGAGCCGTTGTTTCACACTTGACAGGGGTGTCTGTCGTTCACACCAGCTTTGTCAGGTACTCGTACACTCTTCAGCGACCCCACAGTACACTTCTAGTACAGTACACCTCTAGCTATCATCTCTTTCAGTCCCATCTGTGTCTATACAAAATGGTACATCAATTTCTCAGTATCTCTCAAAATGTCTCATATGCAGAGGGTAGTAAATCTACAGAACAGTCTATTAGTTCAAGCTGTGGAAGCGATAACAACACTAGACTTCAAAAAAGCCCTTGACAAGACTATTAAGAGCAATGGGGGATCCTACAAGGGCCACTGGCCTTCTTCCCTCGGCATAGCCACCACTAGCTTGGGTACCATTAGGCAAATAAGGTAAATATGTGTACCCCAAGTGGTGTATCACATCTAAATATCTCCTCTCCTGTCTCTGCCATCTCAATCTGAATCCTCGCCTCCAGATCACACCATCACACACACAACACAGCACTGACAACTTTGCCGTCGAGTTACATGTCATTACGCAACCTTGATGTACCTGTACCAGACTCCGTCATTACACATGTAACTACCGGAACCCCCAAAGTAGAGTAATCGAGCGTACAGAGGTTAAAGAAACCCACGGTGGCACTGGGGGAGGTTTGTTTACCGTGCAGGGAGTGGTGCGTGACGGTAGTTGATCCTCACCACCACTGCTGTATACAGCACCCTCCACAGTTCCTATGTCCGTTCTGTGTCAACTGTCTCCTTGATATCTCCAAAAAAAAAATTGTCAGTTACATACATTTTCATCAACGTCACTCCACTGCACGAACAAAAATACCGCTGAAGAAAGCACCACCCGATCAAGCTTGAGACCAAGTAACGTTAGATTAACCCTTCACAACTTTTAATAATCTTAATTTATTTGGCTAACACCAGATGATTTTATTCAACAGAGAGAGGATCCCGTAGACAAGGGTTTAGGAGGCGTTTCTACCTACAGGCTCATTAAACACCTCCCTGGCTCATCTTCATAGCTCTAGGAGGGTGGGGTTGGTGAAGGGCTGGGAAAGGATAGGTTAATGTACTGGTGGGGGAGGAGGACGAGGAATGTGCTGGTAGGGGCGGAGGACGACGAGAGTGCTAGTGGGGGAGGGGGACGAGGAGAATGCTGGTGGGGAGCAGGGTCGGGGAGTGTGCTGGTGGGGGAGGAGGGGAAGTGTGTTGGTGGGGTGGAGGACGGGGGAGTGTGTTGGTGGGGGGAGGAGGACGGGGAAGTGTGTTGGGGGGGAGCAGGATGGGGGAGTACTGTTGGGGAGAGTGCTCGTGGGGAAGAAGGACGGGGAGAGTGCCGGGGGGAGGGGGGGAACGGGGAAGTGTGTTGGTGGGGGAGGAGGACGGGAGAGTGATCATGGGGGAGGAGGACGGGAGAGTGTGCTGGTGGGGAGAGTATGTTGGGAGGGAAGGGTTGGTGAACAACTTGCGCCACGCACGCGTACAAGCAGGCGACAGCCCCGCATCTGACCCACCCACCACATCAACTTTTTAACACAAGTAGCAATTCTTTGTTTTGTACTAAATTACAACACAGCCACTGTACTGCCCCAGTAAACACAAAAATGCTGTTTTACAGTACTTTTATTAAGTGAGGGATACATTTATTTTTAGAAATGATTGTACAAAGATTCTAACTCGTAGGTATACCGTGTAATAATACAAACTCTACATATGCAATAAAACATATCATTTCGTGACAGGAACTACACGGGGTTTGACTTTATATCAACAAAAGGCACAGGATGAGAATCAAAGGCTACGATATAAAAGAACATTCCAAAGAGGAAATGAAGGTTTCATCGTTTCAACAGGTAAAAATAATAAGACATTTCGTTAAAATCGAATCAGAAGTTGCGATAAAACCACAAAGAGAGTTTACTAAACAAAATGGAAAAAAATAGCATAATGATGACATTAAACCACAAATGGGAGGGAATGCGGAACACCCATGTACATGAACCTTAGATAAAAGGGTCCGCCGTGTCCTGCTGCATGGCGGGGAAGGCCGTGACGTCACAGCGTGAGGTAACACTACCATTGTCTGACAATATTTATCCACCGCCAAGCGTCACCTTCCGCTCTGGTCGCTATTACGGTTATTGTACGATTACTGGTTTGTCGATACGGACTCACGGGGACAACTTGTTCATTCACATTGTTCCATTTCCGTCCACACTTGTTTAACATTTTGAAATATAGAACAATTCATTCGTTTGTGCATCACTGCTTAAACGGAACATATTCTAGCACCAGTGTATCCGAACCGTCAGCAAAGAGTACAGGAGTGTATTATGAAAATGACAACGATAATTCAAAGTAATTATTGCCAATTTACTCAATGCTAGTGTTGGTTGATAAGAGAATAGCATAAAACATTCCCTCGTTGGCCTTGCAACGAGAAAACACCAAAAACTAAGTGAAAGATATTGTGGATCACTGGCTGAGTTAGAAAATTATATTTAACAATATGTTAATCGTGGTCTACCTGACCTGGAAAATGGATATCGCAGTGAAAAGGGAGTAACAGGATATTTAACTCCGATAATCGCGCTACTAACCACTCAGTACATCAAAACTACGCATTGCAGTATTTTGGGCTGTATTTTTTATAGTCAGTCTAACGACTGCCTTCCCAAGCTTACTTAACAATGCCTTTGGCGAGTGCAGGACACCTTAAGTGGTTTTAAAAAAATCAAGTACTTTGTCAAAAATGTAGGCGGTCTACCGGGATATTTACACTGTAGAGTCCATTAACCAAACCTAACTTAACCTAGGTTAAGTTATATTCAGGAAGTTGTAGCATTTCATTTAAAAATGTTTCATCCCCTGCCCTCCCCAAAAAATCCGAAAACACATACTCATAAATAAAGGGACCCATATCCCGTCCTAAAACGAAGGAAATACTGTTAGTGTTACCCACACATCGTGAACGTTTTCTGATACAAATATAAAGAAAACGTGAATATCAACGATAACTGAAGTACCGAACGGCGTCGTCAGAATTGTGTTCAGATTTTCAACCCGGTGATTAACATATTCCCTACTACCACTTAAATTGAACCCATAAAATATACGATGAAAATCTGATAAAATTTAATTTGTTTATGTTAATATAAAATAAAGTAACATCATACATCCAGTTTAAAATAACCTGAAGACACTTATACTGTACCAAATGTATTTGTTGTCGACACTGCCTGTTCCTTTATAAGAGTTCACTGCCCTGCTCTTGTTAAGAGCTACTGCCAGATCATCCTGGCAAATCTAAAATAACAACAAATCTGGTGATGGTGGAAGTATTGTTTCCCTTCTTTTAATTTGTCTAAATTAACAAATTTTTCATGAGTAAGAAATACCAGTCAGACCTCTCACTTGTCGCACCATATATTGTACAGTGAATATACACAATAGTAAAATAAGGCATACAGCTTATGAAAGAAAAATACTTTGCCAAAAGTGCAGCCATATAAACACCCAAAATGCATTATACCTTGCATTATGAGACGATCACACAATAGGTAAACAAAAAATTGAGATGCTTCACCATTAATTCGTTAACAGCAAAGCCCATTATTTTACAAATAAATAAATAAGTTAATTAAAATTCATAAATATACCGTACAACGGAAAATTACATTTGCAAAATACCAACTTACCTAAGCCTACTCTGTTTAGGAAGTTATCGGGTGTGAAGAAATATACTTAAGGTTGTAATGATGTTCCCAGTCGTCATATTGGTACACAAACAATGAGAACAAAAATATATGGGAAAGGGTGAAGATCGAGTCAGTCATTTAAACTCTCAACGCAGTTATGTGTAGGGCTACCAGTTTAACAACCTTAAGTTCCTGATTTTTCCTGTCCACATAAAAACACCTCAAAAGAAGGTAATGGTCTTCATATACACACACATGAAGTAGGTGTGAGTGTTTCCATACTTAAAGTACTTATCATATTTTATACCCATATACAGTAAGCTTTAAGTATCTCATGTAAATCATCTTACTTTGAAAATGAACACTCATAGCAAGTTTCTAACAAGATATGCGGAGAATCATGACGTAGAAATTGTGTTTTATCTTAAAATTTTAAACCTGCTTTCCTTCATTCCGATATTTATGCTTCTGTCATAATTTACACTAATCCAATACTGACATAATGAAGTGGAGACACCTGCTACATTTATACAAAACAAGTGATAAAAAAACACGATTCTCAAGCAGGATACAATATACGACCAACACCTTACAATATATTCCGTGCAATCCATCCACTGTTAATGTTTTCAGTCAACGTTAATTATCTTGAGTATGTGGATGGTGTTATGTAGTGCATTGACACATACTGTACTTAGAAACGTTATGTGCTGTGAGTAGCATATACTGTAACCTGTACTTGTATCACCAAATCGAAATCTCACCTCAATAACTCACCCTGGTTCAAATGATCCCACCTAAACTGCATAGTTAACAGTAGTTACCAAACAATTGTGGAACAATAATGGGGAATCTGCCTTCGGTGATGCAGGTAGTGTGAAGAGGTAGGAGGAGAGTAAGGGGGGAAAGGGGGGGGGGCGGAGTTAGCGTTTTACCTGGAGTAGTGTTGGCGGAGTCTGGAGAGGTGAGGGTAGGGTCCACAGGTAACAGTCCCGCCTCCTCCAGCAGTGAGATCTCGCTTGGGTATTCGAACGTCGTTGTCAGCGAGTCGTCGAAGGAAATGGTGAGCTGTCGAGGAAAAATATTATTGTTAAAAAAAGAGAAAGAAAATTAAATACTTAGTTCAGTCAATGACTTCAAATTCTAATATTATCAAATGTTATATCAGTAAGCTAGTTGATATATGAATAAAGGAGTCACTCCTGCAATGTTGCACTAACGTTAGCAAATAGATTCACTTGTAAGAAATTTGAAATTACTGATACACCATGGTCGAGAATAGTATGAATAGCATAACTATAAGTTAGTTTACATCCGCTAGCCATTAAATTATTAGAAAACGTATGCGGACTGCAACGTTTTCTTTATTGCAAGTATGTGTAAGGGGTAGCTATAACAACCTTCTGGCAGTCGTTTGTTTACTACGAGAAGTCAACTGAGAACAATTACTCTTCAATTATGATATAAATCTGACTTAAGTTTGAATAATAAAAATAAAAATGGTTTATCTTCGTTCCTCAACCCCAAATGAAGATGAAAATAACCAAAGACATGTCTGTTCATTATGGAAATGTGTCATTCGGCCCCGCCCAGCAATATGGTTTTGTGATGTATAATGTGGCAGTATCCTTTGTGGGAGCAAATTCTAGTCGATCATCAGCACTTCATTAATTATATATTTTTTTCTAAATGGACAATATAAAGCCAAAACGAGAGAAAGGGGGCGGGGCAATTTGACATTTCTATACTGTAATGAACAGACTATAGTTAAGGTTATATTTGGTTAAGTTAGGTCTGGTTGTTAATTGTTTGCGGTCATAAATGGGCAGTTTGTGCATAAATTCTGCATGCTTGTCTCTCCAGCAAAAATACGTTGAAAGACGAACCCTGCTCTGTAGCAGGAACCTAAACACAAACCTCAGTAATTGAAGAAATACATTATTTATCTACCTCCCAGAATAGTGTCACTTGGCATCCACCGATCACCCCACTACTGCCCAATCAACCCGACACACGCAGGCAAAAATTTTTTACTTGGATTTACGTGAGCATATTACAGGTTCTCATATATGAAGTTGCGTTGTATAACAAGCGATATGAGAATAATCTATAAACTTAAGCACTGTCAGTTATCGGCTACCACAGCAAAGAAAACAAATAAAATTCCATAAACGTCCACACACCAAGGTGATAAAAATAAATTTTCCAATGTTCTTTGTAGTTCCTTTGTTTTATTATAAAAGGTTATATATATTATTCCGGAGTGTTGATCAACCGTAAGTCTCACTGTCTAGGAGTGAATGAGAAGGGGACGGCGTTTATGTATAATAAACGTTTGGTCACGTCCTTACGATATAAGTTGAGGTGAGCTACTGACTGTGAGGACCTCGCAGTGCGGGTTTACAGAAATGCTGAGCTATGGGTCTCGCCCTTTGGGAGAGTTGCCCGCTCACGTGCCCGACTCATGTCTTACTCATAGACAGTGGAAAGTTACAGGGGGTGAATCTGAATATAATCTCAGATGTATTGACCCATTTATATAATATGTTCTGTTGATGAGACAGGGGCCTATTACAAGCGGTGGATATGACATGTCATATTCTACTATAGAAACTAGAACATATATTGTCGATTAACGTCAGGGAAACAGACGGATATACAATAGTCTTTGTCCAGAACATTGTAAACTAAAACCTGTATGAGTGCATCGCAACGTATAGTCTTTAACTAAACTTTGCCTATGTACAGCATCGCACACTGACAGAAACACAAAATATGATGGAAGGGTTGATGTGAGAAGTGTTACGAGCAGATGGTCGGAGCCACCTTGGCCATTCTCCTCTTGTAGTGGAATAGAAGCGCTCCCCTTCTTCCCTTGGGAGTCGCTTTGCTGAGTTGATTACCTGAGGGACGAAGACAGGTGGTACACGGAGGGAAAACACTCGTCTCCTGCAGTGTTGACTAGCGAGCGGAAATACCAAGAATATTCCTGTGACTTCGGAAATTAGGTAAGGCAACACATCTGAATCTTGTGAACTCCTGGCGGGCCTATCAGTATCCGGAGTAACAGGCATTTTCGCGGCCAAAAATCAAGTCATAACTCCAGTTGACATGATTAGAGAGCACGTAGTTTAGCACCCGCCTCATATTAATGTAAGCATCAGACAAGCCAAAAACATTGAAGGTCTTGTGCGAAACACCAGAACCTCCGATTGACACTTGTATTCCTTGTCCCTTCGCCTTGTTACAGTAAGAGTGACTCAGAGCTGTTTTGTCCTCGAGAAGGGAAGGGGGCGGGGTCGACGCTCACGGTGTATGGCTCCTTGTCTACACCAACAAACACACAAAAAAAGACACCAATTATACCGCAAATCATGTTTTTGTTCTTCAAAGCAAAAATTCCTATTTATATATCCAATACTACTTGAGGAATCTTAAATGTGAACTTATTTAGCACGGGCTTCAGTATATACTCGCTAGTTTGTACAAGCGATATACTCGTCAAGATGGAAAGGATGTGCCACGATATGGTATCTGGCGGAGTGGTCATCAGTGTTGGTAAGTGGGCGCCATCATGGTGCCACTGAACTTTCCTCTATCTTGTACACACACACACACACACACACGACACTTTGGGCTCCTAAATATACCTATACTGCCAGGGAAATGAATGAGTCAATGTAATGGGAGGGAGGAAGTGTAGCAAGCACAGGTCCTGCCATCCAGTGTTGACAGGGAAGGAAGCTGGAGACAGTGTGGCGGCTGAGTCAGAGTGGTGGTGGGGCGCGGGTGACTCATCCCCACTCCCTCACCAGTTCTCCTGCACTCACTCCCCACTTCCCTAGCCTCACCACAACACCAACTACCCGCACTACCAAGCACATTCACTCGCCATTACTACTCCACTATCATATTCATCTACGTAGTAGTTCAGGGGTACCTAGTGACAGCACTAGGATCCCGCTTCCTCTATCAAGGAATAAACAATTGAAATTGAAATTGAATCTACGTAGTACTAAACCCACCTGCTACACGCACGCGCGCACGCACGCACGCACGCACGCACGCACGCACACACACACACACACACACACACACACACACACACACACACACACACACACACACACACACACACACACACACACACACAAAAGTTACGATCATAATCTATTAAAGGAAACTAACAACATATTTCCTTATGATGGTGAAGAAGTATTGTCCATTAGCTATTTTAACCCCGCTTTAAAAATATTTCTCCACGTACAGAAAACATTAAGTAATGTAAGGAAAAGGTGGGCTTTGGGCTGATTAAACTGCCATAAATACTGACAAATAGTAAAAAAAACACTCACCAGCGAACGAAGCACTGAGAGCAGGTTCAACAACACAGTGATCACGTGTCGGCCATGTTGAACATCTGTAGATAAGCTTCAGCATTATCAGGAATACTTATCTACTGTACAATAACCATGGAAACAAGAAACGCTCCTTCCTACCAGCTTCAGGTTTATCGCGGCGCAGAACACACCTGAACCCCTGACTTAGAACGGACCTTTAAATCGATAATACAGTCAAGTGATCATCAATATTTCGGTAACCCCCGTCTAAATATTGTAAAGAATTTGCCCAAACACGAGTTCAAATTAAAGCTCAATAAATATTTAACAAACAGCATTATTCATAAATTATTTTTTAATCTCATGTTAGACTTTTCAGGCTTAAGCGTTTGAGTAACTCTTTTACTGCCTGCACCTCTCATCACTGTGTGTGTGTGTGTGTGTGTGTGTGTGCGTGCTTCCCCTACATGCACATTATACATAGTTTATTTGCGCTACCATGTATAATGAGGAGTCCTAATAAGTACTCAGGAGGAGTCACTGTGCACATTGTCTGCGGGACTGAGAGAACCAAAATAAAGCGACGGTCACAAAGACTAATGATGGTGTCCCGGCGTGAGGAAATACCTGCCCACACCACAACCCTTCTTTTGGAGAGTTACCCCCCTCGCTTATTCTACAACCTTTCCCTCTCTCCCACGCCCCTTCCCACTCGGCTCTCACTCGCCCACATACCCTCATATACTCTTGTTGAAACCCCACACACACTTAACACACAGCGATACCATTTTATACCGCAAATTATACATCTTGCAACCTTCTCCTCTTCCCCACTGCCTATTCATTCTCACTCACCCACACATCCCCATTGACGCCAGGTAAGGACCCACACATTGAACACAGGTATACAGTGTAGTTCAGCAAATTATACATCTGAATGGCCCTGTACAGTTAAACAACAATCAGAATGCACAAATGTATTCGAAAGACGAATCTCAAATGCATAAAACAAATAATAAACAAAGTGGGATAGCAGTTTGTATATGAGTTCACCTGACACTGTTTACAGACTAGTACTGCACCAAGAAGCACAAGCCGGGAAGGAACCTTTACAAGTGCCCAGCCTCTCTCCCTGGAGCGGCGTAGCATAATACTAGTAAGTGTGGGGGGGAGACCCCGGGTCAACACCTGAGGGATACCTGTTCTTTCATCCGTACACCTTCCTTTATCTTCACGCACCACGGAAAGCCTCTTTCTTTTCTCTTATTCTCCGCTGTTCTACGTCTGTGTGTTCGAATTTTTAAATGCGATACTACAAGAAAATAGTGTAGGTTTCAACACAACTTGGATTACATATACAGCATGTGACGAGACGATATAAGATAAGGTCGATAATTCAGTAGTTTCTACCATTATGGCCCAAACTTATGATGCGGCACACGACTAATTAAGTTTCAAGTAAAAAAGAACAAAGGATAAACATTCCTTACATCATACATGACCACTAAATTTAGGAAATAACTACTAAAAGGTGTAAACTCACATTTAACGCTGCACTGTGTAGGTCTGTGACACCTACATGTTGACGAGTAAATTATCCAGAAAGTCGAAGAATGATAGAGTCGCGACAAAGGTTACTAAACTTGCAATCCCTAGAAAGACGAAGAGTGCGGGGAGATATGATAGAAGTATTTAAGTGGGTGAAAGTAATCAATAAAGGGGATATAG